TTTAAAAAAAAATAGATTTTTGAGTTTTGAAATTTTTGAAAAAAATCGCCTTTTGAAAAATTAGATTTTTTTATACTCAGAAATTTAATTTTGCCATAAACACAGTTTGTGAGGATAAACGTTGGTATGGAACCCATAGAAATATAAACAAAATTTGCACTTATTTGATGTGCATAATGTCCAATAATCATTTTTCATCCCCAAAATGTATTTTTTTTACTTTTTTTTCCTAAGAATTTAATCACTTCTTTATTTTGTCAATACAAATAAAATGTTCTTTAAATCGGACGCTCCGTTATCTCAAAAACTAAATTACCATACATACACACCCATACACAAATACATCCATTTTTTCTAAAGTATGCTAAAATGTTCAGAAACTTTTCAAACGTAAAGATATATAATTTTTTATATTTTTGATTACTATAACTTACCCTACGGAAAGTCAATTAATAATGATTTTATATTATAATCAGAGCTTAATAGCCCTAAAGCTTGTGTTATGGCTTTTTAATATCGTAGCTTTAGAAAGCAAACTAACGATTGGCCTATCTATTTTCAATTAATTTATTATTAAAATAACTTTAATACTGACGAATTTTCATTGGATGCAGCAATTCACTTGAAAACATATTGCTGCCTACAACGACTGCTTGATACATGGTTGTATGAGCCGGGTATCGAGCCTGGTAGTTTTAGAAAGCAACCCAAAGACTGGTCTATCTATTTTCAAAAAAAAAAAAATATTAGAATAACTTTAATGCTGATGAATTTTTATTGGATTCAGCAATTTACTTGGAAACATATTGCAATCTATAACTACTGCTTGATACCAAGTTGTATGAGCCGGGTATCAAACCTGGTAGTTTTAGAAAGCTACCCAAAGATTGGTCTATCTATTTTCATTGAATTTATTATTAGAACTATTGAACACGACGAACTTCGTGAGATATATGGAGAAATTTTTTGTTTGTTTTATATTTGAAAAGAAAAAAAAATGATTTTATTACCCAACAGTAATGAATTTATTTCGATTACAAAAATGAAGTGTTTTTTTAGTAAACTTCCCTAAGTAAATGAAAGTGAATCAGCAAATTATCCATTTCATTGAAGTGCTCTTTGGTAAACCATATTTTTTGTTTTTTGGTCTGACGTTAACACAAACAAAGCGGATGGTTTTCCAACTCATGAACAGGCAACGTAAAACTGCCCATGTGAAAAACAATGATTTTCTAAATAATCTATTTGAAATTTATCCCGCAAACACTAAGCGATTAGCCTTGCGACTTGTTATTGCAAACGCAAGGCGAACTGGAAATTGCAATCGTTTAAAGTCAAACCGAAGACCAGTCGGAATCATTGGTATGTCACCAAATCGCCAGCAATTTTTGATTGAATGGTGAAATTCAGTACGTGTACATCATTATTCTTTGCGGCAAGAATTGCTCGTTGACTTAATCAAGCATAATTCTGATAATTCTCACTAATGTCATTACTCGAATTTTTAATTACGGTGCGTGAAGTTCCAGCAATTTGCATTAAGGCGCGATGCCATGCGGAGCCCGAGACCTTTCCAACGCATGCGAAATTGTCGAATTCGGTTCGTGCGTTTTGGAGTTATATCGTCAGGAAGGAAATCCCGACTTATTTTTATATATATATGTAGATAACTTCAATACTGATGAATTTTTATTGGATGCTGCAATTCACTAGAAAACATATTGCTACCTATAACGACTGCTTGTTACCAGGTTGTATGAGCAGGGTATCAAAGCTGGAACACCTTATTAAAAGTCCATAAAATAAATGTAGTGAATATTATTAAAGTACCTAGGTAAAAAAGTTAACAACTTACATATAAATTGTTTAAAATCAATGTGTATTGCTTATAATTAACATAATTTTTTATCGGCTCACAATTAAATTAACAAATGATTCAATTCCTTTCATACATAATCTGTACGATTTAACGCTGTACATAGCGTTCTCCCTTAAGTTGTTTAACGAGGGGCATCAATCATCGATACACGAGTCCACAATCCTCAAGCAACCCTAAAAAGCGAGTGGATCGCCCTTTCTTAGGGCGGCATTCTCCCCAACGGGGATGTCTAAACTACGCATCCTCGCTCCCACCTACCATTTCGGCGACGGCCATACCAAATAAATTAGGTTAGAGAGAAAACAAAATGGATGTCTGAAAGGCTATCGCGAATTTCCCCGTTAGCCAAAAGGTCATGTGCCCAATGTTATATATATATATATATATATATATATATATATACTGGATTGATGAGTCTTGGATATGTATGTGTTGTGTTGAGCTTAGAACAAAGCTCCAAAACTAGTGGTGAATATTAATCTTTTCTCCAAAGGAATCTTGCTATGTAGCTGATTTAGAGACAAAATATCGAAGCGCCTAAGCGCCGCGTCGGAGTCTAACGTGTGAACATTGGTACGGAACCCATAGAAATATAAACAAAAATTGTACTGATTATCAAAATCCCTATAAAATATTTTATAATTTGATTTGCATATTATTTCTTTCCGAACAATAAATTCAAATAATAGTAAAAATACAAGTTTTTTCGTTGTTTGAACTCGATGTTTCAGAACTAGATATTATGTCCTACCATCAGGTTTTATTTTATCAAAAACATTTTTTTTATATAAAACAATATTGTTGGGTAACTGATAAATGATATAAATTTAAATAACTTAAAGGAAAGGATTATGTACCTAATATTTCAAAATATATATCAACTAGTTGTGTTTGGCATCGTGCCTTACGGAAAATTGCTTGAACTTTCCCGTACCGTAACGAAATATGTTCGAGAAATATTAAATGTTTTTATTTGAAGTATATGAGTGAGCTTTAGAACTTTAGCCAGAATTAAAATTAAAATCTGAATTATTTTCGATATACAAAAAAAAAAAATTTTAGAAAAAAATAATTTTGAAATATTTTTTTTCCAAAAGCAATTATTTTGTCAAAATAATCAAAAGGGCATTTGCTTTTGCCAAAATCTAATCACCACTTCTCCTCGGCATTATGAATTGAATGTTTTTTAGATCATTCAAATAGGATGCTCCGTTCTCTCAGAAACTCGAGTTCCGTATCTTCTAAACGGTTGGACCTGCCTTTGCCAAAAACTAATCAGCACATCTCCCTATCAATAGAAATCGAATGTTTTTTGAATCATTTAAATCGGTTGATTTGTGCGCCTGAAAACGTAGACGAAAAATTGTATCCATACATAAATACACACACACACATACACGCACACATCCATTTTTTCTGAGGTATGCCAAAATGTTAAGAAACCTTCAAAACGTGAGCAAATGTAAAAATTTTCAATTTCGATTTTTGCACGATTACAATAACTTACCCTACGGAAAGTTAAAAATTGAGAAACAAAAAGTTACTTACCTTTAATTTCAAAATCTCTTGGTTAAAAAACACTAGTATAAAATTTATATTTCAAGATTTAAGTAAAATGTAATGAAGTACACTTAACAAATATTTTTCATATTTTTTGATATACGTTGACATTTAATAAAACTAATGATTTTTTGTTTTGTAAATTTAAAAAACATAGCTTGTTG